AAGTCGTATATTCTTTGTATACTCTAGATTGCACACTCGTTCTTATCATCTAGTACTTTCTCTATTAAATTGTTGTTGAACCGAAAAAGAATTTGGTTAGCTGCAATCTCTTTGTTTTATAATAAGACCACTGACTCAGTCTACTGATCGCTTTTTTCGATATATGTACGAGTTTGCTATCGACGAACACCGTGAGATCTTCTCTCTTTCAGACCAGAATAGTCTATGACTTCCCAGTCGTGTCTCTCTTGATCCCACCACACTATGAAATGTGCTATGTTACTGTCGGTGATACATTTGCGTTTGGGGAGGTGATCGTCTGTCATGGCGTTCACCAATTCGGTTCCAGAGACTATTGAATCGGATAGTTCTGCCCCATGGTCGGACAATACATTTGTTATTAGACTTCCGACAGGTATTTCTTTCAGTTTATATAACTCAATTAAATGTCTTCGACTGAAAGCTCGCGTTCTCCTGCAAGCAAAGACGACAGTCTAGTTGATATGGAAGAAGCTAGGTCCTTCAAGACCGAGGAGGAAAAGAAGTCAGAGCCCAAGGTCGACTGGTCGCTGTTGGCGCAGTTCCTTATTCTTGGATTTGTGGCATTGGCCCCTTGGAACTTCGTTCTGGCTGATCTGCCTTATCTGGACTCCAAGTTTCATAATCACTTCAGTTCAACTGTCCCTATTATATACTCTATTGCTGTCAACGTGGCTCAGCTTCTACTAATTTGGGTAGGTAACAAATTCAGCTTTGCGCCCCGTTTTGATTGGGGTTGTGCGATTCTGGCTATCTTCAACATCCTCCTTGCTGTTGTTGCTATGACTATTGGTGATGGGAATCCGTGTCCCGATGAAGGTTTAGGTTTCGGCCTTGCTCTGGTCTGTGTCTTCTTGCTCGGTTTTGGCCATGCATTGATGGAGTCTTCTTCCTTCGGTCTGGCAGCTCTTTGTCCACAATCTTGCATGATCGCGGATATGACTGGCGAAGTGTGGCCGGTTTGGTTGGTTGGCCTATCATATGTTGCTACAAGTCATTTTGATGCTGGTATGTACGTCGTCAGCCAGAGTGGCAGTGCCTG